TTTTTTTTTAGAGACAGAGTCTCACTTTATTGCCCTTGGTAGAGTGTTGTGGTGTCACAGCTCACAGCAACCTCCAGCTCTTGCCTCAGCCTTCTGAGTAGCTGGGACTACTACAGACACCCACCACAACACCTGGCTATTTTTTGTTGCAGTTTGGCTGGGTCCAGGTTCAAACTCGTCACCCTTGGTGTATGGGGCTGGCGCCCTACTCACTGAGCCACAGGTACCGCCCCAAAGCTGACTCCTAATGCTGGATATTTATTGAACCTAGACTCCAATTGAAGTGATTTTTAGGGGTTTAGAAGTAACCCTGAGAGAGAACCATATTACCAATTTTTTTTACATGGCTTCCTCTGGTCCAGAGATTGCTCTTTAGGGTATGGAAACATATGGGTTCTTTTGCTTTCTTCTTAGCATGTCAGTCATAGAGAGTTACACAACATGATATAATTGTTTTCACATTACCTCCTTTGAGCTTCTGATAAGAGGGAATGGTTTTATATTATATAAGACTCCTGTACTTTTCCAGCTGTTATAGTGAGTAGGAATTATGAGTACTTTCTAATTCAAGAGATACCCTTCTGGATTTCAGGTACCAGTATCCCACAATGGATGAGCTGGCTGAAATGCTGCCTTCTGTCCTCACCCACTTAAGGTAGGTTCATTCTGCAGTCTTTCACACAGTTGTCTTTTTTTGTTATTGTTTTCTGAGACAGAGTCTCACTTGGTTGCCCTGGGTGGAGTGCTGTGACATCATAGCTTACAGTAATCTTAAACTCTTGGGCTCAAGTAATCCTGCCTCAGCCTCCCTAGTATTTAGAAGGTGACTACCACAATACCCAGTTAGTTTTTCTATTTTTAGAAGAGTTGGGGTCTCTTGCTCAGGCTGGTCTCGAACTCCTGAGCTCAATCTACCCACGTAAGCCTCCTAAAGTGCTAGGGTTATAGGCTTGAGCCATCACACCCGGCCCTTTCACGCAATCTTTACTGACTTTCTATACTCAATTCTATAATGTCTATTCCATAGGATGTGAAGGTGAGCAAAACAGAAAAGTCACTATTCTCCTAGGGTTTAGTGGAGTAACAAGTAAGCAAGCAGTCACAGTAAAGTGCTATGAAAAAGTTAGTGGGGGTGTTGTGATAGAGAATAAGGGCAGGATCTACATAAATAAGTCCAGTTAGAGAATGGGTAGGGTTACCTAGGCTGAGACCTGGAAGACAAAAAAGAGACACCTAGACAGGGCAAGAGGGTTCTAGACAGAAAGAATATGTCCAAAAGCCCTGCATCAGATGACCAAATGGAAAAAGGGCATGGAGTGAAATTAAAAAATAGACAAGGACCAGAAGAAGTTATTCTTGCTGTGGAGAAAATGGTTTGGAGAAGAGTAAGAGACAAAAAGCAGGAAGTATGGTGGTACCCTGGCTCAGCGCCTATGGCTCAAGTGGCTAAGGTGCCAGCCATGTACACCCAAGGTGGCAGGTTTGAATCCAGCCCGGGCCCGCCAAACAACAATGATGGCTGCAACCAAAAAATAGCCAGGTGTTGTGGCGGGCACCTGTGGTCCCAGTTACTTGGGAGGCTGAGGCAGGAGACTTGCTTGAGCCCAGGAGTTGGAGGTTTCTGTGAGCTGTGATGCCACGGCACTCTCTACCCAGGAGGACAGCTTGAGGCTCTGTCTCAAAAAAAAAGAATGGTGGTACCCATAGCTCAATGGGTAGGGCACTGGCCACATACACCAAGGCTGGCGAGTTCAAACCTGGCTTGGACCAGCTAAAACAACAATGACAATTGCAACAAAAACAAATAGCCAGGCGTGTGGCGGGCACCTATAGTCCTAGCTGCTTGAGAGGCTAAGGCAAGAGAATCACTTAAGCCCAAGAGTTTGAGGTTGCTGTGAGCTGTGACACCACACAACTTTACCCAGGGTGACAGCTGAGACTCTGTCTCGAATAAAAAAGGTAGGAAGAACAGTTAAAACTGTTAACAGTAGTCTAGGTAAGGGATAATGATAGCTTGGTATTAGATGCAGTCAGGGGATGGACTGAAGTAGATAGAAACATTCTAGAGGTAAACTTGGTGATAAGCTAGATTCTGAGTGGTATGACAGTGGGCAGTCATGAATGATTTCCAGGTTTCAGTCATATTTCCTGTAGCCCTTAAAACCAACTTGAAAGTAGGTGGAGGTATCCTTTCTTGTTTTATTGGTAGGAAACTGAGTATCAGAAAGTTACCAAGAAAAACTTGCCCAAATTGTCACGTCTAGTAAACGTCAGAGTCAGGATTTGAACCTGGGTTGTATTCCTTCCATTATACAATGCTACCTCCAAATGAAGTTGTCTATGTTGTTATTTCCCATTCACAGTCTGAAAAGCATTATTGGGATTGGAGTGGGAGCTGGAGCTTACATCCTTAGCAGATTTGCAGTAAGTATTTACAACAAATTAACAAATTCAGTACCTTTGAGACATTGATGTTAACTACTTTGTTAAATGACCAGGCACCATTTTAGGTCTTTTTTTCTTTTTGAGACAGAGCCTCAAGCTGTCCCCCTGGGTAGAGTGCTGTGGCATTACAACTCACAGCAACCTCCAACTCCTGGGCTCAAGC